TTGTATGTCCTGCCGAGCACTCGATGATCTTGCACCCTCTCGAAACCCCGGATCCTTTTTGGAGAGGCCGAAAAAAGGGATGTGGGTATGATCTTGTTGGACCCTCTTAGCCCCGGATCCTTTTTCGGGAGGCAGAAAAAAGGGATCTGGGCCATCTGGCGATGATTGTTTGACCATCTAAGAGGGCCCGAATCCTTTTGGGGGGGGCTTGGCAAATGGATTTTGCAGATTAATTTGTGTGGTTTTGAACCCTAGGTCCGTTGGCTGACATGACTTTACCTTTTCCCAACTACCACAAGCCTGCTCGGCCTCCAAAATCCACAATGCCCCTTCGCACAGCGGCCAGGAGACAGAAACAGGTATGGTCAGCAACCCCTAAAGAACAAGCCTTATGCTTGCTCACCCTTCTACGCAGACTTGCGCAGCCGCTTCCGGCCAGGCATGAGCGGAAGAGAAGCCCCTTGGCTGTACTCACTCAGCTGGCGGACGAGCATCAAGTCCTGCTTAGTGACAGTCTGCCGCTTTGCGTGCGCTGCTGCCATAGAACCCTTGACCATGTACTCAGTACCCAAGGCCTTGCCAAATCTGAATAGTGCATCTTCCCTTTTAAAAACACTACAAACAGGTACGAGGCCTAATTACATGAATTGACACGTTGTGTTCTTTTGACGTTTGTATGTCCCCCGCACCTCCGCTGCATCCTGAAGAAGCTGGATGGCGCTGGAGGAGATGCGAAGGTTTGGCAATGGATGCTCACCGCCAGGACCACTCTCAGAATTCCGAGTGTCCACAAATCCCTTGAGGATGTCTTTGACCAAGCGCTGAAAAGGCGCTTTGGGGAGACATGTCATGTGAACGGCACTCTGCAGGTGGCGAATCTCATCTTCCGCACTGCGTAGCTGCCGAGTGCCATACTGTCCTTTTGGTTGCTTCTTCTCCCGAACTTCGTCTTTCTGTGGGCGGCCTCGCTTCTTCACAGGGGAAGGTGAGAGCGATGCCGGGTCCACTGCCGGCAGCGAAGGTTTGTGGAAGAGAAAATGGCCAACGCAAAGGCGAACCGTCACATTGTCACGGAGGGCAATCGGAAGCCACAGAGAGGACACCAACATGGAGCACGGTGCCACAAGAGGCTCCGCTGCGGACTTCGCAGCCATGGCGACTGAGGGTGGTGCAAAAAAGGCGGGCGTTCACCACTTGTTTACTTGTTTGAGCAAAATGCCTTTGTCAAGGCATTAGGTCCCAGATCGATCCTTGTTGACCTTCCGATCCTTTTCAGGGGGGCGTAGAAAAGGGATCTGGAGATGATCCTTTTTGACCCTGTAAGGAACCCCGGATCCTTTTTTTGGGGGCTTAGAAAAGGGATTTGGGGTTATCCTTCTTGACCTTGTAAGAAAGCCCGGATCCTTTTTGGGAGGCCTTAGAAAAGCTTTCTACTAGCCTGCGGTCCTTCAGCCATGGGAGAGCTTTGGCAATGTCTTGGTTCAACAATTGCGATTGGTGCTCGCCGCAAACAATCTCAAAGCAACGCCGCCGCTGCTCAAGAGGCATTTCGGAGTGGAGCTTCCGGAAAGCCGCCTTGCAAACGGCAGCTGCATCCTGCGCAAGGCCTGCCAGGTTTGTCACTTTCTCAGTGACTTCCTTGAGTCGATCCTTCAACCACAAAGAATCTTGCCGCATCCAAGAACTGTGGATGGTCTTGACACGTATGCAACAGTTCTCTTCGTTTGCAGCGTCGATCGTGGCAGAGGGAGTGAATCAATATACTATTATATTCAGACTGATTTAATAAATCAGATAAAATATATTAGTCTAGGATGAACTTCAAAAGCCCTGCAAAGCCCAGCTTTGTGAGCGCGAGCCTTGCAGGGCTGAAAGAAGTTAGGTAGACAACTGACTTGACTTTAGCCCGGCAAAGCCCTGCTGCGGTGAAGCTGGGCCTTGCACG